GGTGTGGCTCGGCAGCACTAAGGGCCCAGGGTCTGGGTGTCCCTCAGGCGGTGGGCAGGAGTCCATGGGTTACCAGTGAGCATTCTCTGCAGCATAAAGGGAAGGTGCTGGTGCACCGAGTGGCGTGTTAGCGTTCGCTGGGTTTCAACAAGGAGCCCTGGTGGCATAACAGTTAAGTGACGCAGCTGCCAACCAAAAGCTTGATCGTTTGACCCCACCAGCAGCTCTGCAGGAGAAAGGCCCAGAGATCCACTCCTGTAAAGATTACAGCCTAGAAACCAGATGGAGAAGTTCCACGCCATCAACAGCCTCGAGTTTGACTGGCCTCTACTTCATTCAGAGTAATGATAAAAACAATAATTAGCATTGAGAGCTTACTCTTTTCTGTTTGGGTCCCCCCGCCCCCATATCAGTAAAGTCATCATATGGTAGGGGTGGGCATGGGGACTTGCCCTATTTTGGCCTTGAGAACACATGGACCAGGGCTGGGTTAGACCAGCACCCCATCTAGTCCTTACTCCGCCTATAATGGAGCGTTGCAGAGATGCTTGAGAAACGAAAGGCAAAAATCTTCCAGACTTCCTGTGCACAACTTCCGAATTCACTCGGGAGGGTTCCTCTGTTCACAGGCGTCAGAAGTTGAGAGACAGCTGTCCATGCAAGTCCACGCTCTCAGAGAAGACTTCCGGGAGAAGCACTCGTCCACCAACCAGCACATCATTCGGCTGGAGAGTCTGCAGGCTGAGGTGAATGTGGCAGAGCGGGGTTGAAAGTGCTTTTCTCATTGGAGGGCCGCACTGGAGCTTTCTGACCGGAGCAGGGGTGCTCTGAACCAGGGAGCAAAGCCACCTCGATCGAAGTGTGACTAAAATCACCATCGACAGAGCTATGAAGTGCTACATGGGGAACTTGTGGCCCATGCCCCTCTGGGTGGCCTGTTACCTGGGAAATCAAGTTGTGGTGGGAGGGACTGCTTCCATTTCCTGCCGAGGGGATTGAAATCACGAGTGACCTGCCTTTTGTTGAATATGTTGGGCCCTCCAAAGCCTTGGGCAATGAGAAAGGGGCTTCTTCCTTTCCCCGTTCCATTCAGGCCCAGTTTAGCCCACCTGACCATGGGCTTTCCAAGGGGCAGCATGGACTCAGCCACACGTGGCTTTGATTTCTAAGCCGCTCATCTGAAAAAGGCGGGCCCTGGAAGTGCTTGCCTCAGAGGGTCGTTGTGAGTTCATACATGGGACGCACATGGTGTGGTGCCTCCGAGAGGCCAGAAAACGTCAGCCAGGGTCTGAGGCACCCAGTAGACCAGAGGGAAGGAGGGAGGGAGGGAGGGAGGAAGTAGCAGCCATGGAACAAACCAGTGAGAATTCAGTTGTGGGAGGTACAGAGAGCGGGA